TTTTTTTGTCTTTTTGAGACAGGGTCTCCCTGTATCCCCAGCTGGCCTGGAGCTCACTTTGTAGACTAGGATGGCCTCAAACTCACAGAGATCTGCCTGCCTCTGCCTCCCGAGTGCTGGGATTACAGGCGTGTGCCACCGTGCCTGGCTTTATAGATTCTCTTATGGAAACTCTTACTCTTATGGAAAGTTCTGGAATGACGGTAATATTTGATTAGATGCGTGAATTATTCTGATTTGGATTCTCCTAGGAAAATTTAAAGAACTGTTATTAGTTCTTCCTAGAAGACAGTGTGGACTAATTAAAAAGCCCATTGCAAGCTCACGAAAGGAAACAAATTGTGGCTCTTGACCAGGTATCTTTTTCAGGTCATTCCCCAAAACCTAGCTTAATATAACTTTCATGTCTTCACAGAGTGACTTCTTCAGGCTTACAAAGAGCAGCTGGGAGAAGCTGTGGGGTTTCTCTCCTGAAAAAATGCTCTTAAACAAGTGGACTTATTCTTTTAGTTCTATTTGGAAGTAGAAAACTAGACTCAATCAAAGATGAGTCTCAAGTGACTATAAAAGAAAAAAAATTGTTATAAACTCTGCTGAACAGTGATTAGGATGAATAATATTGCAGAGATTTAAATGGCATTGCAGCACAGAGACACACGAGGGTGCTCTAACCAGCTGTTGTAATAAATGAATCAAACCATTGAATTATTGTGGGGGAAATAAAGGCCTGATATGGATGTCAGCACTGAATTGTGACTTAGCATTGGCTAAAGAGAAAAATCTTGAAACAGATGGCCTTTCCTTCAAGTAAAATGTATTACACCCCGCCCTCCCTATCATTACTTCCAGTTTTAAATGCAGAAGATGTTCCTATCAGGCAAGTTGAAAGCACTAAAAAGTACAAAGAAGGAAAAAAACTGGACCGATGCTGCTATCAACCAGGGTGGCTGGGGTTTTCTAGGGCTGGGTCAGTTGGAGGCTTAGCACAGGAGGTCTGACTTCAAACATGAGCCCAGCCTGTTCTCATTTTGATTCCACAGACCTTCTGCTGGTATGAAGGGGGAGTAGGGACTGGGGGTCTAATGACCGCAAGAAGAGAATTAGAGACGCATGTTTATCTCAATACATTTACTCTCATTAACGTTCATATTCACTGACATCATGCATCTCCTTGAAAAAGTCTGCCCACCCACCATTAATTAAAGCCACATTTTTAAAAGTCAGCATGTGCACTTTTATTCCAATCAAAAGTATCCTTCTAAGTTTTGCAGAGTAGGCAGGAGAATATCTGAGGCCTGACAGCTGTTCCCCTCTACACAATGAACAATCATGTGATTTACATTAAACATTTATGTATGGCCTAGAATACAATAGGTAAGATCTATTGTCTTGAAGATTAGACCTATTCAGTGTCTAATGACCTCTTATAGAAATTTAACATGTATTTTGATAAGTCAGCATTTCTTTGGATACAGTATAAGGCCATATACCCTTATCTTTCCAAATAGGGGACTATAGCTATTGTATCCTATTTGAATAATTAAGCAGCATGCTCCTGTCAAAGACACCACACTTTATAACTTACATGTGCTCTATTGATGTCAAAACAAAGGTCAGTGTAAATTCTTTTTATCTAAGTCATTGCACAAACAGCAATTACCAATCATAGCATTGCATAACCACAGTCTATATTCTTGGCAGTAGTCACCATAAGTTCATAAATTCATGAAAATAAAGAATGTTGATGTTTAAAGTTCAAGAAAGGTACTATTTGTAAACAGTTCAGGTCACACTCATCTTAGTTTATGTGCTAAGTACAAGTCCTTTCTCTCCAACTTCTTTTAAATGAAATTTGTTCTTTTCGGGAGGCCAGTTAAAGTATTTCAGCAAAGCAGATCTGCATCCTTTACTTTTTCATATAGTCCCCCAACACCTTTCAATTTTATGCTTGTATTTATATATTAATATCATGCACATTTTTATGTTGTATAGTTGTCTGTTTCTATTGGCAATTAGATTATCTCATAATGATTCAGATCAAATATTTGTTTATATTTTATTATATTTGTGGTTTATTTATTATTGTAGTTGTTCATTTGTTTATGTGTTCATATTTTATTTGGTTCAGCTTTCTACACAAAGGTATAGACAGCAACATTTCGGTTCTCTTGTTATTCTGGTCATCTAGACCGTCCTAGTTCATCAGTGAATCTGAACATTGGCCTTGAAGCAGTTTAATCCTAGGTTGAGATACCCCCTGGCCTAGGAGTTGAAACCTGAGTTCTAGTCCTGTCTTCTCTACTGGTTCATAGTCAGTACCTTGAAGACCTCAGTTTCCTCATCTAACAAATGGATGTCTGAACGTAAGTACTGATCACATACCCATGACCCTGGAGGCTTATCAGAATGAGAGGATAAGGGTCTTCCTCTGGTTCTATTACTCATCCAGTACAAAAAAACTGTAAGGTGGAGGTTTTACAGCTGGAGCTGGTTCTGGCTCCCAAAGAAAGCACCTCCGAATTCAGAAGAAGCTGACCAACCATGCCTAGTAAATTGTTTTCACAGAATGTTTAGGAGAAGATGATCTGGGTATTGCTTTTCCTTAGACAGAAATATTCAATATACCATTGCTATGTGAGATGAAGCCCTATCTGGCAGTTGATTCTCTTGCCTAGACTATCCAGAAGGACCATAAGATACTTGACTCATTATAGTGCTCAAAGCAATCAGTGGATTCCTTAAGCTCAGCTGTGGGAAGGATAGAGGAGCATGGCTGGGGATGTTTCATTGGTGGTTGGTGGTACTCTTTAGAACAAGTGGCTCTGGACTGGAGGTCAGTGGGAAGCTATGACTACACAGCATTTGAGTAACTCTAGGAAATCTTAAGATAAGGTCTGTCTGAGTCAGTCATAAGGCCTCGGGGTCATTAAATGAGCAGGGTAGTGTTCCATACCTTCCTTCCGGCTCTGTTGTTGTGAAGATTCATCAGGGCTCTGGCATCCTTCCCTTTCCTTTCCTTGGCATCTGCAAACGCTCGGGCAAATTTGATCCCATAGTCAATGTTGTCGCTGCAGCCACCCCAGTCAAAGGTACCCTTGCTGTCCTTGGCACTTCCCTTCTTCTTTGGATCACAGGAACAGGATTTTAATTCTCCTTGGCTACAGGCCCTGGTGATGGCAAATACAACTCCAGCTGAGGAGATGGCGTAAACAAAGGCAGATTCCCGACTACCTGAAACAAAAATGCTTTTCTTAAAAGTGGTCAGCAAGTGCTAGATCTGAGTAACTTTCACACGGTGACTTCATCTTCTATGGTAATCTAGGATTCTTTTCTAGGGCTGAGAGTCTCTCTTTAATATGAGTCATTTATACCTAATGTAGGTTTCTGTCCATTTAAATATCGATTAGCCAACTCTTCTTAAATACAGAGTATAAAAGATAAAAGATGCCCTTGCTCCTGGTTTCAACAAGTAACATTTAACTTGATCCCTTGGTGTCCCAGGACAGGGGAACTGGCACCACTCACCCAAGTTTCTTCATCTATGAAATACAGTCTGGATTCTACAGGTCTATCAGTCATTCCTTTGTATGGTCCAGGACTTGTGATATCACAGCTTGGAAAAAAGCTTTCAAGATGGACACCATGGAATGAGAATATAGTCTTAGCTATTCGAGAGGCTGAGGGGCAGAATTGCTTGAGCTCAAGAGCGGGAGGCCAGAACAAACAAAAACACTTGCAAACCTCTAGATGTTACTGAGGACACTCAGGTGCATTTAACATACTGACCCTGAAATACTGAACTCAGGAAATCTAGGGACTGAAATGGGAAGAGAATTGAGTCAGCCACCAGCCTCTGGCGTTAACACTGGAGAGCTTTGGCTTGCCATCAACTTTCACAAGTAATTGAGAGATTGTTGAAGGCAATATGCAATATCCTTGAGTTACATACTCTGTTTAGCTATTAAGGTGATTTTGCTTTCTTCTGGAACACCTGCACTAATCAGTGGTATTGGGTAAAAGACAGTGAAAAGCTTTTTTTTTGGTTTTTCTGGAAGGAAACAAATTTACCACCTATAATTAGACTTGGGCAAGAACTCTTTGGGGTACTTTCTCAGAATTGTTCTTTATTAGAGAGCAGGCTACTTTCACTTACAGTCTGAAAGGTACATATTTCAGTGCAAAAACTACATTAAATTATTTTAATAATCTGTAGTAACTCATAACACGGTGTTGTGGTATAGTGACAGATATAAGGCTCTTTAGGGTCCATGTGCACCTCGTTTTTCAAGTGGAGCTGTATTTCATTGTTATTAGTATGGCTTTTTATTAATGGTTGCTGCAGCAAATATATTAACAATCAAAATAGAAGCTGGACAAGCTAATGTCAATCCAAGGCAGAAAGTAGAGAACCGTTGGTGATTCAACACGTCAAGACGCGTGTGACATTTTGAACCACACAGCTGGAAGAACAAACTGCCTTTTTGCATGGAAGCTTTGCTTGTTTCCATTTGTCATTCAGTACTAAAATTTATTGTGCATCCCTCGAAATATTTGCTCTGCTAGGCTCATTATTAAAAATTGCGAACACATATCTACACCATATTAAATGACACTTACCTCAGTCTTTTGAAAATATCTCCCTCCAAACTTCTAATTACCAAAAATAAAGAACAGTTATGCCCTGTACTCAGGTATAATCAGATGAGCATTTGTCACAGGTAGCAGGTAGTGCTCTCGAGATAAAGAGGAACTGAGATGGGGTGACCAGTAGATTCAAACATGGCTTCATCTCAGTTAGTGACTTTTAGATAAATAAAAATTTTATTACATGTTAATTTTACAGTTTAGAAAAATTCTGTGCTCATCATCTTCTTTATCCTAGTTTTGGACTTCAAGTCTAGTATATTTATTTATAGATGTTATATATGGGAAATAATCATAAATGCTTAATGTGTTTATCACTACCTTCATAGTTTGAGGGAGAAGATAAATTTTATGAGCAGGGAAAGCATGGATGACATGGACCATGGTGTATCAGTGATCAGACAGTATTTTGAAAGCAGTAGAGAGATCTTCTAAGTGTAGAATTCATCCTTGTGTAAGTAGTGAAGAATCACATTAACTCGTTGGCCAAATGACAACAAAAATCATAATTTGCTATAATTCTGAAATAATTTCCAAAGAAAAACATTATCTTTCTAAATATTTGCTATTATTAAAACATTAATTAATGTCTAGATGTTTGCTTCTTTAAATAAAAATTTCACACGTGACTTTTTGTCTTACCTCCAGATGTTTTGGTATCGTGTAGATATGGCCTTAAGATGTTTTCAGTTAAGTATTTGAGATGAATCACTAAAATGCTATGTGTGAAATAGTAGCACATTCTAGAACTGGCTTTGTAACAAAACAAATTTTGGTCATTGGCCTCTTCTTAGAAAAACTGATTTTCTTTTTTCTCTTTCTTTTTTTCTGATTCTCTCTTGTGATTCTCACAAATGAGACAAAATCCAAATCAAAATGATGATATGGATACTTTCTGATGTGTAACTATTGAAGTTCCTCCCTTTTTGGGTTGAGATGATCAAGAAATGTCTGTTGGGTGCACGGGTATTGTTTGGGTTGGGAGAGTGTTACTCAGGAAGGCAAAACATTAGAGCGAGAGTCTCTTGAGGGTTATGGATTGTCTAGCTCTTTTTTTAAAAAATTCTTTTTATCTTTTCTTTCTTCCCTTTCATTTCCTTTTCCTTCTTTTTTTTTTCTCTTGACATTTACAAGGATGAGACCTAATCACTTTTTGTTGCTTAAGCCTTGTTCTAGAATGCCAGATGTGTCGACTTAAAAGAATATTTTTGCGTTTTCTCTACAGGTGACTACCGTCTATTGAAATGGTAAATTCCAAATGTTCTTAGCACATTCTACCTTACACTGGTTCTCTAGGGCACAGCAGGCATCTCCATCTCTCTATGATCCTGGGATACTATAGTAGCAATCATGTTCTCCTCTAGGTCTTTCCTGATCATCTAAAAATACATTTAGCGTTCCAAAGGAGAGTTCTTCACAACTCTAAGATTGAAATTTCCCTCCATGCAATTAACTGTAAAAAGTCTTTGGATAGTTTCATTGGAATTTCATGATCATTTCCAGGATAAGCGGCTTTAGGCCAAATTCAGCCTTCCTCTAACCAACAGAAAATCATCAGTGACAGTCACAGGAATCTGCGAAGGAACTTGCCTTCTGTAAAGAGTAGAATGAAATCATGTAGCATGTTTTAAGTTTTGAGTGCTTTGGTAAAGTGCTTAGTATCAAAATCTGAATGGAGTGCCAGTTGGAATCTCTTATTACCTGAGACCTTCACTAAATTAGTTCAATGTTCTCCCAGTATAACCTCTTTTCTCTCATCAGCTCTACAAAGTATTTTATGAATGATCCCTCAGTTTTGGCAGAGATGCCATCTTTTGGGTCACTTGTCACAACAGCTTCCTTTCAGGCCAGTGAGACAGCTTAGTGGGTAAAGGCTGAGTTTGATTCCTGGATCCCTCTGTAGAAGGAGAAACTGAATCTGGAAAGTTGTCCTCAGACTTACACACACATGTGCCCCACACCCAAATATAACAGATTAGAAGAAGCATTTTAATTGCTTTCTTTCAATTAAAGAACGATTGTGATTTGAAGGCTTTTTTTAACCCATCAATATGCCAAGAGCTTAATGGATCTGTGGTTATCATTTTATAAATAAGAAACTCCTCTAATATAAAATTACTGAGAAATGATGGTGAACACTGCAAAAGAAAAATCCTTATATATTTCAACCAGTGAGAGCCCACAGCTAGTACAGCCCAAGAGTACTTGTGATGGATATTTGCAAATTCTCTTTGACAAGGTCCAGCACTAATTGATTTACTGGTGAGCTAATCTAGGTGAAGTCTTAAAATTCCAAGAAGCTGAAAATTTCTATTATCTTTTAAAAAATTTGCGATGTCATATTGAAACTCCAAAAGGAATGCAGAAGAATATAGTTCTTAAATGAGAGAATAAAAGTGCAGAATATCGCAGTAAATTAACTTTAGGGATACTCTAGGAGTGAGAGCACTACGCCCTTGGGGGATTTTAGAGACTTTCAGTTATGCATTTGGCCTCATAAAACCCTAGCACTGTGATGATTACATGATAGAAACACCCTCTGTTAAGTATTACCAAGTGCACAGCCTGGACAATTTCTTGGGAAAGGGGGAGTGGGATGGGCAAAAACAAGTGTAAAGTTCTCTGTTTCTGGGCTTTGCACATAAACTGTTGTATTTCTAGTCAGATTTCCCACTAACAAATGGGTCGAGTCACTTCTTGAAGAATGATACTGCTGCCAGCTTAATTGATGAGTATTATTTGAAAACAATTTTTTAAAATAAAGTTTTTGAAGATTTATTTAAAAATTTTATTTATGTGTGTATGTGTGTATCTCTGTGTGGGTATGTGCATACAAGTGCAAGTGTCTGAGGAGGCCAGGGGCATCAGATCCCCCAGAACCTGGAATGATGTAGGCAGTTTTGAGCTGCTAGACATGGTTGCAGAGAACAGAAGTCAGGTCCTCTGAAAGAGCAATATGTGCTCTTAACTCCTGAGCCATCTCTCCAGCCTCAAACATAAATTTTGATTTTTAATTAATTTTCTCTAGTTATATACTAAGAAATCACTATCTTGCTTTTAATATTTACAAATGTAAAGAGAGTTATTACATAATTAGAAAAATTATGTCTCTTCCTAAGAGAAAGAAAATCTGTGTATCATGATCCCTAGCCCTCCCTCTCTTCCATAGATATTTGTACTGCCTAAAATGTAGCTGGAAAAGTAATAGGTGCTCACTACAAGTTCCTCCACTCATTCACTGTAACAAGTGAATGGAACTGTAATACATAGGCATTGAGCAAGGTGCTAGTTCCCGACTATAGAATTTATAATATCTTGAAAACACCATTTAAATTAGATACACAGTGACCCTGGCCAAGTTAACCAAATAAGAGTGGGGGGAGCGATTGATCTCTGCTTCTTATAACATTTTCACTGTGTTTTTTAAAAATAAAATATAGATAGCAACACACTTTGGCTGGCCAAAGATTTGAGCATTCTGTCCTGATCCTCAGATCAAATTCTTCTGGAAAGTTCAAGTCTCAGAATGATTTCTTTTTTAGTGGTCAAAAGAGCCCTATGGTTGCTTTTTTCCTAGAGATAAAATCTGATCTTAGAGGGTCATGCAGTGTTGAAGTGATAGACAGAACAAACAGTGAAAAGACACCAGCCTGTGGCCTCTCAGCCTGCACTACCACTGGCTTATAAGACAGTTCTTTGATTGTCTCACCCCTCATCTGTGACCAGAGATGCTGCCCCAGGAATGAACCTAGTGCACAGAATGCCCTTAAGGCAAATGAGCAAGTGGAAGGGGAGCTTGGTGGAGGCAGGAGACTCACTTCTGAGGAGGACCCGGCCAAAGAGGCTGTGATCCCTGTCTAGAGTGTTGCAGTTCCAGCGGTGCTGCCGGAACTGGTGTTGGCACTCTGCTGTCCACTCAGCCACACCCAGGCCAATGGCACGCATCACGTCTGGATGTCGGTGGCACAGCTGACGCTGGCGGCTCACCAGGCCTGGCACATTGTCACACATCACCCTGGAGGAGCCACCTGTAGCTCTCATGTACCTGTAAAGAGGGGTGAAAGTAATATGAATACACGGGCTGGGCTTTGTGATCCCTAAGAGACCATAACTTAAAGCACTATTCAAATATGGATTCTTTGTCCCTTCGTAACATTAATAGGCAAGGGTTATTTAATTTTAATTCAGTGGAGAAGCAGGCAAGGGAGGCATGGTGAGAGAGCTGGTAGAAGTGCTGCCAAATGGAGTGATGACTGTCTCCTGAAGTTGAGGCCACCAGATGAGATGTTCTGGGCAGGGAGGCAGAGGTAGAGGCAGGCAGATGAGGACTTGAAGGGGTGGGGGCAGTGTGTTTGGGGAGAACCCTTAAAGACTTTCAGAGAAGACTCTGCTCTTAGTGACGCCATGTGTCTGCACTTGGCTTTGGAGGAAGCTGACCTTTAAAAGTCCCTCACTCCCATTTGTTTGACCTAATGTCTTAAAAACTGTCTGCATCTATCTTATCAGCACCTGGTGGGAGCTGATGCTACATTCTGCTTATGGACATGCCATTCTTTCCATACTAAAGAATCCTTTAAATGGTTCCATTCTCTAGCTCCTTTTGGCTTTTATAGAAAACTTTTGGAAAAAATTCTTTCTATTGTTATCAAGGACATTAAATGTTTGGAAAAATCAGCGTTATAGCTCCATAAAGTACTTTTTGAAAAGAAACTTTAACAAAAAATTACATCATCATCCCTACCCAGATGTTCTCTATTAGTTGTGAAATGTTTAGAAAGGTACCTTTTATATAACCCAAGCTGCCATAGGTGTCTTTTGAAGCAATCAAATAAGGAGAATGTCTTTTTCTTGTATTTTCATTATTTTATATGATCATAAAATTGTTACAGCTGTGACTTCAAAAAATATATATTTAAGTGACAGCTGAGAGACAATGTGACAAAATGTTTGAGCAATAAACAATATTTATACACCCACAGAAACAGAAAGTCATTTTATTGAAAAATGGTCAGTCTGATAAATCAATCTTTGATCTGGTGTCAGCAATGTCAAGGTGAACCACCTTCCTGTTCAGAGCGGCTTAGGAAGTCACTGTACCCCTTATCATAGATTCTTTGCTTTGAACCTTTGAAGAGCTCCAATATCTTCCTACCCCTCCCCCAACCCTGCAGCTTTTGGCTGAGATTCCTTACTGTTGTCAGATTTTAAAAGAGGAGGAAGAAGAAAATAGCCCACGATAGCCAATCTTTCAGATTAGGTAGAGTATTCTAATATCTTTTCTGGAACTTTTAGGTACAAGAAACTTAGAGAACACTCAACTCCATCCCTTTCCAAGGTCAGAACTTTGAGAGATGGGGTTAGAATTTTGGAATGGGCAGATAATCTATCTGCCTTTGGAACTTTTAACAATGTTAAGACCAATGAAGGCGCCATCAATGTGTAAAATAAACCATAAATCAACATACAAAGGACAGTAGCAGAGTCGCGCTTTATACTGTCTTGGGCACCTCAGTGCCAGTAATTTTGCATCAAGGAGCAGTCCTTACCTGGAGGTAGCCACATGTTCTGCCTCATTAGGATGAAGCACTAGGAATGTGGAAGGACAGGAAATAATACAAAAATCCACGCTTTGGGCTCTACAACTCCAACTGCCTGAATTGATTTATCTTGAGGCAGTTTTTTGAGGACGCCAGGGCAGGGGCGGGGGCGGGGGTGCCAGTTGTAGTTTTCAAGGTAAAGTCACAGACATACAGACACACAGACACACACGTACACACACACACACACACACACACACACACACACAAAGTCTGTGCTAGAGGTAGAGATCAGGCTAGCACTTTTCTCTGCGGGATAAGAAATTGGCTGAATTTGCCTTCGCTCAGCTCAGCTGGATCCAACAACCAACATTAAAGCTCTCCTTTGAGGGGCATGTTTTTTTTTTTTTTTTTTTTTTTGAGTTGTCAAAGCTAAAATGGTTTTGAGAAAAGTGAAGGGGTTCAGCTGAGGTTCTGCGGTAAGAGCGGGTTGCGCCAGAATCCACAACTGCCAGGGCTGGGAAGCACCGCCAGGAAGGGTCTCTGTGACCAGTAGGGTCCCCACTCCCATCTCAACAATCCATCAGCACCGCGCCCGTATGCGTGGACTTACCACCATGAAGAGCTGACCTCAGGGGTGAGCCAGGTCAAGAGCAGAGGGAGCCAGAGCCAGATTCCACCGAGAGGGACGTTCATATTAACCCCCTTGCGTCTGCATCAGGTCAGACTCCGTGTGCGGGCGCCATGCGTGCCCAGAGCAGAAGCGCTCAGCTTCGGGAGCGCCTCGTCTCTGCTGCCGGCGCCTCTGCGCCCCCGCCCCCCGCTCGCGTCTGCGGCTAGTGCTGAGAGTCACTGATAAAGTTTCAAAAGACGAGCCCAGCAAGCGATAAAGGGCAGTCGGGGCCGCCTCGCCCACAGCCCAATTCCCCAGGCGTGGCGAGCGCGGCAGCCCGCGAGCTCTGCGTGCCTCCTGCGCGCCCCTGCCCCTTCTGTTCCCGGCGCGGCGCAGCCAAAAAAGGGGGCGCTGCTCCGAGCGGGGCGGGGGGCACCGGGTTTTATAGAGGAGTGGATGAAAGGATGGCAAGAGACAGCTCGGGGTGAGAGGGGTCGAAACACCTCTGCTCTGGGTGGCCCAAGCACTGTGGAGGCACGCGCCTTCAGGGAAGTTCCTGGCCAAGGAGCATCAGTGGGCTGGGGCACCCGAAGATGCGTTCCACATAGGCAAACCTATTCTCTGGCAAGCTGAAGTCTCTCATCACGCAACGTGGGGAAGGCGTGAGGAGAAGGGCGAAGGATGAGGAGATAACAGCGCATAGGATACAAGAATCCAGGAATGATTCTCATCTCATTGCTTTCAACACTGGGTGATAGAACACTAGTGAATTTGGAGCTGCAGTGTCTGTGTAGCAAGGTTGCCAAGGGATGGGCCAGGCCTCCGAATGAAGACCTACGGCCTTGATCCCTGTGTCCCGTACTTAAGGGCGGGAGGGAGATGAGCTGGGACTCTGGAGACCTCACCCAGCAGTTTCAGCTTGGGAAGGAGCAGTTTTTCTGCACACGCAGCTCCTCCCCAGCGCTGTAGCTCACGTAGAGAAAGGGAGAGGATCCTAGGCAGCCAGACATCTGCGCCAGGCTTGGGCTGCACCTATCACCGCCAGGGTACTCAGTCTGTGCTCCCGGCCAGGTACAGGGACTCAGGATCGGACTTGGGCTCTCATAGAGCCAAGATAGGGGCTTGGGCAGGAGGGTGGAGCATGTGGAGAAGCAACTGGCTTGTAGCCCCGTGGTTTATCACCGGAAAGGAAGGAAGACCAGGAACTCGCGGCGACCGTGAACTGTTCCATTGCTCTTTTCCGGGGGCGAGGGACCCACCACCGCCCAGGAGCGTGCCCTGGGGAATAATAGTGTGGGTTTATTTTTTTGGGGGGGGGATGGTCATTGTGTATATTGGGGGGCGGACCATAGGAAAGACAGTACTCCCCACCCCCATCCCGCCCACCTCTTGGGCTGGGAACCTCTAGAACTTCAGCTCTCACCCAGCGCGAGCGCGGTGACAGGCTGGACGAGGCGAAGCCCAGAGATGCCAAAAACCTGAAAGATGCTGTCATCGCCACCCCTTCCCCCTCGCGGTCCGTGGCAGGTCCGGCCCCTCCCAGGCTGACCCAGATACATCCCCTTTTGGGTCCGGAAAGGGAGGAGAGGGAAACAAGCACCGCGCCACCCACGACTCGGGAAGAGCAGGGCTCTGCGCCAGGGCAGCTCCGTATCGCTGGGCTGCGACCCAGGGGAAGTTCTGCTAGGTCTTCACTGGTGAGGGAGGGGGTGCACTGCTGCTTTGAGGACCGGTGCACGCTGGCGGGAGGGGTGGGGTCGCTCCCAACAGCAATACCATGTGCACTTCAATTTGTGGTCACGAACCTTTTTCCTGAAGGAAGCCGAGACATAAGATAAATGTTACCTCTACTGGCCTCTGTTCCACAGGTTCTTAAAGTAAACTCAGCCCCTCGGGGCGGATTGAAGCAAAGGCTGACCACTGAGGAACCATGCCTTGCCCAAGTTTCACTTCTAGTAGTAACTAAAACAAGGCTATGGATATGAATGTTGGGGAAGGTCAGCAGGCTATATGCTTTAAAACACCGGCTCAGATGTTCCACCCATGCGGGCACATCTTGTCCTCACAGCTCAGGGGCCTTTAGAAATACATGGAGTGTGACCATCAGCTTAAGATCCCTTCCTTTCCGCCCAGAGAATTATATGGCCAGGAGACCTGCCCTTCAGTTGCTGGTGAAGCCAATGGAATGACCTAAACCTGAAAAAGGCCTCCTAGAAAAGGGATGGACCAGCCTCAGAGCCAATTAAATCCTCCCCAAAGAGCTTCATAAGAAACACCACATGCAGTGCAGAGGACAAATCAGTTTTGGTGAAAGGCTAAAAAAGTTCAAGAGAGGCTAAAACCAGACGTGAAAAAGGTCCACCCAAACACCCATTCTGACCTGTCTGGAGGCAGTCTGGACCAGATGACTGGTCTCTTCCAGATCTGTGATTCCACTTTCCTCCCTACTCCACCCCTAGTCACTTATGAACCATTACTTAGTCCCATAGTTTCTCCTGTCCAGAAGATCTGACTTCCTTCTTCTACTAGCTGGTCTTTTATGTACCCTGCCCTTTGAAGATGGGTTGTTAACTTAGGTACTTGAGAAATGCTCAAAAGAAGTAGGTGGAAAAGTTACAGCAAACCTTTCTTTTGTCATTACTAACCACCATCCTAAAGAGTTAACAAGTAGTGAAGTACATTTCATATGACTTCAGCCTAGCTATAGCAGATGGATAAGACAGGATTTACAATGTTTTAGATTTAATAACTTGATGTTTCAGTTTTTCTTTGCTGAGAAATCTTAGAATTGAGTGTAAAATTCACTTACAGTATACATACCACAATTCTCTCTTTCTCCCCCTTTCTCTGTCACTCTCGCTCTTGCTCTCGCTCTTTTCTCTCTCTCTCTCAAGATGAATGTTAGTTTGCTTGCAACTTCAGTATGGCATTTTAGCCAAATGAGTCAGCCTATTTTCTTAGTTAGATCCATTGTTTGTCTAATCTCCCAAGGCAATTTACTACCAAACTACCTCCACCCTTTAAAAATGGGACTATATAGTCATTTGTCTTTGAGTTTGAGCTGGTTTCTTCCTGAGGTGGTGACCCCCAATATAGCCATTTCTTCACCAAAGGATAAGTTCTACTATTAGTCATTTAAATCTCGGCATGCATTTAAATTAATTGGTGCCAAAGACTTTGGCTTCCAAGCCCAAAAGGGCAATAGGCACCTGAGTTTTTCTATAGAGGAGAGCTACACAACTGGGCAAAACTATAGGAAGCATAGCTCTTAGGCATTAGTCAACTGTGACCCTTGAGAGAAGGAAAACATGAGATGGATTCTCCAGCTATCTCACGAATGCCCTGCTTTTTTTCTGTGAAGAACACTTTTTTTTTTTTTTTTTTTTTTCTGGGCTGCAAGAAGATAGAACTCAAGAAAAGCAGGAAGCAGTCCCAGTTAAGGAGGGGAGAAAAGTTTGTGGCCACTGAAGCAGACAAAACTGGAAGAGTAGAATTTCTGAAAACTGGTAGCTATGGCAAGGGTATCCTGAGGAGCCTGCATGAGGATTCACCGTGAGCAGGGCTACATCACATGGTAAGTCCTGCAATTCTAGCAGAGATTGCCTGCTGTGTGAGATGTAGTGTTAAGAAACACTGAAGCCAAGTGATAGCTCAGCAATGTGTGAAGACCTCACTTAGTACTTTAGAGATACAGGTGATGGGATAAAAGGCTATGCCTTAAAAATAATGCTCATGACTGAGTGGACATTGAAATCTACCTGATGACTTTATATCTGTGCTCAGATGCCAAGGAGCTCAGAAAGTAACTGACTGTGACTAGTAATAATCTGATATATAGAGATTAGAAATGCATGTGCAAACATCTTAATGTCAATTGCATTAAAAATGTAGTTTTCTGCGTGAAACTCTGTATTTTAATAATGAAATGGAGATCTTCTCTAACGGTTAAAACCTCATTTAATTTTATGTCTTATAGGTTTACACCGAGTACAATATTGTATAACTGTAATAATTCAACTGTAAACCTAAAAATCTACAGCCAGTTTTGTAAGAGATGCAGCCTAGCTCAGAAAATTGTTATTGAATATGTCAATTCTGATGTAATGAAATGCTTCTTCTAAGTATGTGGTTATTAAGTAAATAATTTTAAAAAAGTTAGCATATAGAAACATAAAAAAAGTTCATTTGGATATGAAAAGTCTAGACATGAGTACAGTTACAAGTATATGGCAAAGCAGGATAATTAGAGAAACAATTTCAGACTGGAGGAACAAAAAGAGTAACTCTGAGAACTAGAAAGTAGCTGGAAAATCATGGAGAATTGGGAACTACAGGAAGCAACCCCATGAAGTTGTGTGTGAATTCTGCTCAGCTGTGTACATGTGACTCTGCTTAAAGATGATACCGAAGACTTTGAGAACAGAAGTGTAAGAGACCACCACCCAGGTTCCGCAGAAGCCACTGGGTTTTGCTCATCCGTGAAAGATACGGATATTATTGCAAAGGCTTTGAAAACTGAAATAACAGAACCAGAACCCATCAAAAAATGATAAATTTGTGGCCTGAACCCAACTGGGTCGACTGTAAACTAAAACCACAATACAGACATTATCTATATATATGATTTAAATTAACTCAGAATCTTTTAACATTATTTTCCAAATGTCCAGGATACAACAAAAATTAGTTGACACACAAAGAACCAGAAACATTCTGATTCAAGTAAGAAAAGATAATCAAGCAAAACTATTGCCTAGAGAACCAGTGTTGGCACTATCAAGGCCCTCCAGGCCTTGATAAAGGAGCATTAAGAAGCAAGGATGAAATGCACAACAGAAGGTCCCAGCAAGAAGCAGGAAAAGGAATGGGGAAACAAATTTTATAACTGAAAAACATGATAACTGAAATCTCTATTTCACTGATAGGGAAAAAATCACAAAATTAAGAAGACAGAGGAAACTGGAGGTGAGATCAATAGTAATATCTAACCTAACAACAGCGGTCTGTGTGTGTGTGTTGGGGGGGGGGACTGAAAGGGAATGACCTCAGGGATCTCTGGAACAAGGCCAATGTGTAACCTGCTATTCACTTCCCAGGAGAAGAGGGGATACAGTTCACTTAGAAAACAATCTAAAGAAATAACGCTCTAAAACCACTATAAAATTGGCCAAAGACAAAAATGTAAAGATTCTATTGCTCACATAACCCCAAACAGGACAAACTCAAAGAAAGTAATACCAAGACACAACCTAATAACATTGCTCACAACTGCAAAGACAAAAAATTTTCTAACGAGGTGACTACAAATATTTCTTATTACGTACGAGAAGCAAAGGGAAATGACAGTGTGAATGTCTTCAGATTTCTCATCATAAATTATGAAGATAAGGAGAATGGAAGAATCATCAACCTGCAATTCTATATCCAGGGGAAAAATTCTTCATGAATAAAAGTGAAAAGAATCTGTACACAGAAAAGAAAAAAAAGGAGACTCCATTGCCAGCAGACCTATTT